AACTTTATTTGTGTTTTATGAACCATAGCTTATTGAACGGTTCCTAGTTTTCTTTTAGCCTTTACCGGTCTGGAATTGGTTTAAGTAGTCCAGAGCGTTGTTTTGACTCAGTACGCAATAAAGATATCAGTTGAGGTCGAAACTCTGATGACATCAGTTGAGCGAGTAATGACGTACACCGAAACTATCCTAGAATTAATTTCACAAACTTTTTAACTTATTATAACCTATTAAATATTAACCTTATGCACAATATATAATCAATAACTAAAATAATTTCTATCTCAATTCAACTCCCTCGAGGCAATCTCTGGTTCAGGACAATTTCAGGGAAGACTTGAAAGAGTTGATATTTGTCTCATCTTCAGTCTGGTTTTCTTGGCTATTCCACATGACTGTTCCCTGCTAAGAGCTCGCTTAGCAACTTCAGTAGACGGCCGAAGTAAAAACTCTTTGTTCGAACGTACGTTGTAGGAATAAACCCTCGAGGTTGTTGGTTTGAACAAGTTCTCCGCTAAACCCTCAGGATAAAGGTCATTCCATGTTATTCAGAGATTTAAAAACATTTATTGCGAGCTGCTTAGAGCGTCTTTGTTCAAGGGTATGCCATCCTGATTAATACCTTTCGTGACATATAATTATGTATTATGAACAAGGCCACAAACAACTTTATGGTCTGCTGATTGTTAATAACAGACCGTATTGTGATCGAAATTATGTTTTTTAATGCAAAATTGAGGAATGCCGTTTGAACCTTCTCTCCAGTACAAACCTCTCATTCCTTTCCATTAGGCAAAGGTAAACAAGAGAGCAAGGTAGGTGTACTTTTTTTCTGATCATTAATTTTGAAATCTGTAAAAGCAAAAAAAAGAAAGAAAGGTTAATAGTGTTCAACGGATTTGAAGGATCGGTAATTTCTTAACCTATACTGGCTGCGACTTAACGTCAGTGCATTCAGACCCATTACTTCAGACTACGAAACAGGATAAGAAACGTTACTGGTTCAAATCGCATCGTTTTTGTTAAATCGTCTTCTATAAGGGAATGCAATTCTATGGATTGATCATTACGACTGATCGATTCACTTGATTACACTGACTAAGAAGGGTACATACCATAGTGACAGTGATTTCAGTGGGAACTGCACTTTGAAAAAGGCGGAGTTGCCCAACAGCCTCGAAGTAGCAACTGAGCAACTGTTTACAGTCCTTAAAAATCCACTATACGGTGGCTGCCCACTCGCTTTCTGAGACAGGATTTAGGAATGTTCGCTGTCGGTTATTAATAACTTAAACTTTTAAACTCGCGAATTCAGAATATCTTGAAATAGTGAATATTAATGAAATCATATGAATGTCATATGCAAAGAAGATCCTCTTAGGGCCTGTTTACATGCAGGTGGGGAACCCCAGGTAGGTGAGGTAACCCGCTTAGGTGGGGTAAATAATTAACCCTCCTTTACCTGCACTCTTACAACCACGTCATCCCGGGGTGCACTTTCTCAAGATTATTGAATGGTCGCTAAGCACGTAAACAAGAAATTTGCAGGAAAACCACGTGTTTTGGCGATTAATACTCTTCTACAATCACTTGCTGTTCTTGCTGCAACCTTCAGTGCTGTGGCTTTCTATTGTTACCTTTCATAATGATGGAAAGCCACCGCCAAAGTGAATTTTGCGCGAATTTGATGTACCAACGAAAATGATCTGGAAAAATTGGTTTGAATATAAATAAGGACCTGTTTACATGGAGGTGGGGGACCCCACGTAGGTGAGGTAAAGTATGGCGGGTCACCCCACCTATCATGTAAACGTGATCAAATTAAAATGAGAGATTATATGGACAAACGGGTTACCCCACCTAAGCGGGTTACCTCAACTACCTGGGGTCCCTCACCTCCATGTAAACAGGCCCTAAGAAACTAAACAATTTGATGGACATTTTCTGAATATATTAGCGTGAATGCAGTAGCAAAACAACAATTGACTCTTGTAAATGCACTGTCATTTTAATATAAAGGAATCAGAAACCTGGTAAATTTTTGGACTATTTTTTAGTTACAATTTCCTTCTGTTAGTCTTTTTACAGAACGAAATGACAGACAGTCTACCCTCTCATATACTTTAACTCAGGAAATCCCTATCCTGTCATACCTGAAGCATGGAAAAGGTGTCCCTTTCTGTTAGTGCCCCCAGCATAACCCCTTCCCGGGCTTCTAATTTAAAGCAAATACTCTAATTCAAATCTACTGGCTATTAAGGTCCAGTAATCAGATCATTGATGCACTGCATTTCCTATTATCATAAAAATTCCACTATTAACTTTAATTGGGACAGTGTACATTGTAACAAGTGGTATTCCCTTATGCACCACAATTACCACAGGGGTGTCTAAACTAAAGATAACACCTATAAATGAGAACTATGTAGTAGTTGGATGGCTGTGAATTCATCTTCATTAATATTACATGATGCTCACTAACAAGTTGAATTAGGGAACCACATTACTTCATTAAACATTGGTGTAAAGTAATATGTTTTTCAAAATAGGATTGTCATACATATACTGCAGGGCTCTTTCTATATTTCCGACAATATTTAAACTGATTCCAGAATATTATGGGCATCATACTGGATTTATTCGTTGTACAGTAGTTTTGACTGACCGCCTAAAGATGACCACATCATCATCCTCATCATCTCCGTCTTAAGATGAATTGCAAACAGTTTTTTGTTGTTATTCTGAATGGCATCTGCCTACTTGCTCTTAGTATGTATTAGGGTAAATACTTTGAAGGAAAACAAAAACAAACTGCAACTATAAACACCAAAAAAAAAAGCTTAATCGTGTGACCATTTTTGCAATAAACGTAAAGTAGAAATGAGAAAAAGTGACTCATTATATCCTTTAGAATAAAAGGTAACTCTAATTTTAACAAGGAATTAACTAGCTTTGTATCGAAATGGAGCAATTGCAAAACTTCGCCGACACAGCTGGCGCTGAAGCGATGCGTGAGCAATTTAGATGCTGTTGTATCACGACCGTTCTTTGAACTATTGTTATGAATGAACATAAATTAAACAAAACAATAAATAGAGAAGACATAAAAAATGTGAATATAACTGTTCTAGTCGAATGACTCGAACTAGTGACTTCCGTAATTAAAGACCATTCTACCTAAATCAGTATCTAGGTTTGGTGTTTTTTAGATGCTGGAGGTAACACCGAAACCAATTGACTTCTCTCAGGGGCACCCAACGTCAGTTTTCGGAAAATATCTGTTCGGTAGACGATTTGAGATCTAGAATTTTCGGAACATTTTTTGTAAAATTTCTTGCTTGCCTACCTCTCCTAGGATTTTCGAACATCTAAAAATTGGTGTAATTGCCCATTTTTAACGGATTTTTACCCTAAAAGCTCACCTAGAATTTTCGGGAGCCTTTTTTCTGGCTGAAATTTTCCAAAAGGTAAGTTTTGATCCCTATGATTTGCGGATCTCGAGACTTTCAGCTAGGAAATCCGAACAGATGAAAAATTTTTAGGGGATAAAAATATGCCTATATCTACCGTTTAAATACTAAAATACGTTTAACAACGCTATGTTTAAGTGGTTTTGAACTATATTCTCGTTGGGTGCCCCTGTTCTCTTTCAGAGTATTTAAGAGTCTGTTTGAGCTGCTCAAGGCACTCTAAGCTTGATGCTTCACTGATTTCATTCCTATACAAACTAGAATGCGAGAGACGCGTTTATGCTCTGTTGATTGATAACAACAAAACACGCTATGTGGTGATTTAAATCATAAGAAAAATGCAAAATGAGAAATGCCCTTAGAGTTGGAACCGTCTCTTCAGTTCAGACAATTTTGTTTCACTAAGGCAAATTTTAACAAGAGAGCAAGGTAGGTGTACCTTTTAGGCAATGAATTTTGAAATCTGAAAAATCAAACAAGAAAAAGTACATCGTATCTATTGTGGTGTTAACCTGTATTGTGGAATCGTTGTGAAGACGTGTAACTTTACCATGATAAGCTGGTCACTCGGTGTCCGTTCTCCCTGAATTCGGTAAAAACCATTAACGGTCAGTGCATCCAAAGAATAGCCATAACGTCGGGCTGTTCGTTCATATCGCTTTTTTTTACAATCAAAGTCTGGTAATCAAATGGTTTTCTAGGTAGGGATGCAATGGTATGGATCGATCTCCATGATTGATTCAGTTGACTACACTGAGTATATAGGAAGGAGAGTACCGGCCGTTGTTGGTGATTTACGTGATGCACTTTTCAAATTAAAGAGTAACCCGACAGTGCTGAATTCTTTCCCCGTCGACCGTGCAACTGTTCGCAGTCCTCCTTCATTAGCTATCATCCACCATTCCTTCCTTTAACCGATTGTTTTTAGGCCTTCTGAGACAGATTTTAGGGATGACTGACTATCGATTTTGGCTGGCGGGTATTAAGCCCAAAGTTTTAAATGCCTGAATTTACTTCTTCGGTTTGATAAAATAACTTCTTTGATAAGCGGCTTACTAAACTTTAGTAAAAAATGTTTAAAAACTAATGCTGGATGTGATGTTTCGAAAATATTGGCAATCATAGGTCATTATCAAGGCAAAGTGACTGTTTCTTTGTGGTTTGAATATAGCTAAGGGAAGCAATTTGTCAGACATTGCTTTGTTTCTTTTGCCATGCGAAGCGTGAATGGATCCGGGAGGCAAAACATAACAAGGCACAAAAATTCTATTGTTTTGTCCTCATTTATTTGCATTAAAACCACGGAAACCCCCACATTTAAAAGAATAATCCACATTGTACTTTTCATTAATTTGAACAACGCTCCAGAAAAAAAAAACAACAACACAAGGATGACTTCCAGTCTTGAAATGACCTTGCAAGTGGCTTCCCGTATTTAATCCCCACCCCCACAACCCAACCCTTCCCCCGCCTACTCACTAATAGTTTTTTTTTTTTAAATCCGATTGTTTCTTCCTTAGATACCAAAAAATGACAAAGAAGACGTACAGAAAGATCGCCAGCTCTGCACACTCGGAAAACATAAGCTTTTTTTCTTCTCTTTTTTTTCAATGGATGAACATTTTGATGAAGACAGGGAGTGAAAGAGCTGTTGATGAAAATGATCTTTTACCGCTTAAAGAAGAAACCACTTCTTGGTTTTTGACGAAGAAACTTCAGGCAAAATGGACCGAAGAAACAGCTGATAGTCAAATATATGGTGTTAAACCAAAACTTTGGAAAAGCATATTGAAGATGTTAACTGCGAAGGAAAAAATGATCATCATCTCAGCTATGAGTGTCGAGACACTTTGTCATATTCTTCAGCCACTGCTTCTTGGACATCTTGTGAAATCCCTGCTGACAGAAGAGCTACACAATATGTATCTTCTCTATAGCAGTGCCATCGCACTAGGGATAAATGGAGTGATCTCTTCTGTTGCCATGCACCACGCTAACTACCAGTGTGAGCTGTTGGGTATCAAAATAAGCAGCGCCCTTAAAGGATTAGTTTATATGAAGGTAATGAACAAAAATGTCAGAGACGGCCAGATGTGTCCACACTGATGAGGAGGTGGGCTTAAACCTTTTAGCCAGTCCAGCTAACTCAACTGGCTTGGGCCAAAATAGAGCCTAAGGCAGTGTTCACACCTGGTGCCCGGGCACAGTGCCTGAGTTTTCTACTCGCTTGGCACTGTGTGCACACCCTTTTTTAAGAACTTACGCCAAAACTCGGGCACCGTGCCTGTGCCCGAGTACAACGCTACTCGGGCACTCAAGAGGGCTCTGGTTCCCTTTGTGCACACCGTATGGCGCTTGACAGGACGAAAGGAACTTTATACGCAGAAGAAAATTATTGATTGAGCGAGAAAACACTCAAGGTTGTTCTTGGCCAGTGTCAAATAAGTTTACAAATCTATGATCGAGGGCACAATTATGTTCATACCCAAACGGGACATTTAAGTACAGCTTAACGTACTAAATTTTCCTTTTTTGTGGAATAGGGAAAAACAGGCCATTTCCGATTTGCGCCAAGATGTTATGGCTAGATATTCCAGAGCACTTATCTGTCAATTTGGAATCTATACAAAAACAAGCCCTTACGATTACTTTCCCAGACTCTGACCTTCTCTGGTCTTGAGAGTCTTGAGAAAAGACGACTTTCTATAAGTCGCAGGTTCATCTCGGCATGGAAGTTACGCACTTGTAATGAAGTTATTAGTGTACCACATGATCCTAGATCTGGCCATGAAAAGTCTTTCTGTCCTTACATTAGAATCAAAAAAGAGAATGATTTTATTACCTTTAAATTTTTAGACTAGTTTCATAACCTTTTGTATGTTATAGTATCCTGATTATTAATTTTACAACTTGGCAATTCAGGTGTATTTTACTGCAAAGAGTGGAATAAACGATGTTCATTTATGATTTACAAGTATCTGTTTACAGGCAATGATAAGTGCAGAGCCATGGATATGAAAATCACTTTAATTTGATTCTCATGCAAATAGAACTCATTTTCAGAGGAAACGATTTGAGCTTGGCCTCGTTTTGACAATGAGAGTTTCTGGAACTCGGAAGTGGTCTATAAATAGGTAGAGTTATTTCAAATGTAATTTTTCATCAGTCTTCGGTAATTGACAACCCCCATACGCTGTGACAACGTTAATAGTGACAAAGCTATTCCCTTAAGCAATAACCTTATTTGCAAAGATAACTTACGAACTTTATTTTCTTGTTGCAGACGCTTCTTCTCAGCAAGGATTCATTGCTGAGACTTTCATCAGGTCGAGTTATTGATCTCGTATCAAACGATGTCCAGCGAATAGAGAGTGATACTTTCGTGTGTTTTTATGCTGGAGCTCGAGGCATCATAGAGCTTTTAATAGTTACCTTTTTACTGGTCTGTTTTGTTGGATGGCAGGCTCTAATGGGAATTTTTTTACTGTGTATTGTTCTGCCATGTTACCTTCTTTTCGCCTATGCTGGGGCTATACTGCGCCTGCGTACAGCCGCAGTTTCTGATCGCCGCATCACGATGATCGGCCAGGTTGTTTCTGGAATCCGCGCCATCAAAACAAATGCATGGGAAGATGAATATAGAGAAAAGATAAAGAAAGTGCGAAGGTAAGGAAAACTTTAACATTGCATAAATACAAAAAAGGTTCTGAGTAAGCAATAATTTTTTGCCATATCCACAAGCAATTGATTTTAAACTCACACTTCTCCTGGTTTGAAGCAATTAATAAAAAGAAACCTAAGTATAAAATTTAATAAACTTAATTTCATGAAAATGGAAAGGAAATTTCAGTTTGGTTTATTTAGCTCATTCCCAGTTCGTCTCAGACCTAACCGACCAAGCTTGGCAGTGCTTACTTGCTTAAAAAGGGAGGCGAAGTTTCAAAACTTCAAAAGATCGCAGCTCAGCTCAGAGAGCACTTTGGTGTGGTCTTGGGTTAAGCGAAAGAGACAAATTCCCTCGTCTTTTGGCGAATTGACCCATGATCGTTGATGTTTACGCTCTCAAGTGACAAGGTTGACAGTTGTGGTTGAAAAAAGGAGGCGCAGCCGTGCCTTTATTTGGCTGTCCTCAAAGAGTCTAAATAGAAACTGGATGTCTCGTAATTTACAAGCCTTTCTCGTGTTCTCTTAGCATCCCACGTGGGTTATCACGGCGGTAAAACCCATAGAAAGTGGGATCTGCCCTCCTAAATAACCAATAATAATCACCAATAGTTCTTAGAAAAATCCAAGGTTAAATTCATTGTCAAAGATATCGCCGGTGCTTTTTAGTATCGGATAAATCCTCCCTGATAGCAGTAAATACCAATACAGTTAATAACAAATAAAGGGATTTTATTTCCAAGTTAATATAAGTATCATATGAGAGCGCCCTACACCATTGTATCTTTTAACAAGAATATAACCTTTCTAAGTTCGTTTAATTATCATTACTGAAACATTCCTTGTATTGTATTTATAGTGACGAAATCGATTTGACCACTAAGAAGAGTACCTTTATGTCTAGCATTGCTGCTCTCGAATACATTTTAACACCAATGGCAACCCTGGTGACTGTCATTACTCTTATACTAACTGGTAAGCCTGTGACACCAGTTAACGTCTTCACGTTCCTCTCTTTTATCAATGTTTTGAGTGGGGGCTTCTGTGCGAGCCTTTCCTATGCTTCCACCCAAGCCTACGACGCTTATGTATCACTGAGCAGAATACAAGACTTTCTTCTTTTAAACAATCTTGATTCAACGAAAACCACGATAAATCCGCCAGAAGGAACAGAAGCATCGTGTTTTTCTAACAACTCGACAGAAAGTCAGCAAGAAACTATTTTACGGGTCAGAAATTTCAATCAGCAACAGCAACAAAATGAATCAGAAGAATCGTCTTTGGAATTTATTGATTTCACCGCTGAAAAAGGAAGTTTAACAGTCATAACTGGACCAGTGGGCAGTGGCAAATCTACTCTTCTGTCAGCAATTGCTGGGGAAGTACCAGACCAAAACGGGGCCATAACCTTCAAAGGAACTGCTGTTTATGTGCCGCAGATTGCTTGGATATTCTCTGGAACTATTAGAGAAAACATTTTGTTTGGCGAACAGTACGAGGAGGACAAGTACAACAGGGTCATTGAAGCATGTGCTTTGACTCAAGACATCGAAAAGTTTCCAGACTGTGACCAAACGATTGTTGGAGAACGTGGCGTGGTGCTTAGTGGTGGCCAGCGGGCAAGAGTAAGCTTAGCACGCGCAGTCTACGCCGAAGGAGAGCTTTACTTGTTGGATGATCCCTTAAGTGCTGTGGACTATAAAGTTGCCGATCACATTTTTAGGGAATGCATTAAAGGCTTGCTTGGAAAGAAAACTCGGTTAATAACGTCTCATCAAGAACGAATCATGCGTGACGCCGACAACGTAATTGTATTATTTAAAGGCCGAGTATTGAGCCAGGGAAATTTCACTGAGCTAAATGAAAGTGGTAGCCTGAATAAAACTGTCGATTCAATTTACGAAAAGGCAAACAAATCGGATATTAGCGTTGGTGAGGACGATAAAGACGAAGAAGAAATTTCTGACATGAGTGGTATACCTGTGCCCAATGAAGTGCAGGGTCTCCACTTGTCAGAGGAAGATCGCGCCATTGGAGTGGTGTCATCAGGACTTTACTGGAACTACTTTAGAAGCGGAGTTCCCTTGCTGGTAATCATCGCAGGAATTTGCTTATGTTTAATAAGTCAAGGTACTGTGCCTTAAGATAATAATAACTGAACCTTACCACCACACATTTTTTATTCCGGGGAGAGTGCGGTCGACTGAATCCGTATCGTATTTCGCAAAATATTTCCTTATCAACGAGAAAATAAGTTAATTAAATTCGCCCTTTGCAGAAACTCTTGGAAAACAGAATAAATGTTCGCAACTGGTGCCAAATTACTGAAAAAATAAGGGATATATGGCCTTTTAACAAAAACGCTGGATTGCATCTTTAATTGCTGATTATTTCTGAATTGTACGACGAGAATACCATTCACATATTAGTGAGTAAATAAGAAAATTTGGCAGAGCAACCTGAAACGCCTTAACCTAACTGCATATGATTGGATCTGCTTATAAATCAATTTGTTGTATTGAAAAACTAGTGACTGACTAATTTTTGTTGCTGCTTCATTTTTTGTTTCTTTTGTTTTGTGTTTTGTTTGTTCGTTTGAGTGCTTGTCAGTTTTTTGTTGTTGTTGTAAAGTATTTGTGGAAAAGATCGTCTTTAAACTTGAATTGATTTAATACGTTCATGTTTTATTTAGAAGCTGTAGCTGGGCATTCTGCTCACTAAATAGCCTTCTTCCACTTATGTCCAGGATTGAACACAATCTCGAGTTTTCAGGTCTTGGTTTACATTAGTTAGCATGGACTTTAACTTAAATCACTTTGGCTAGCCTAGTGAAATTTGCTCTTTATTATTTCTCGGTTCTTCATCCATTCGATCTGACCAGTCAGATTTGGTTTATTGGGAGCTAATCAGATTCGAGTACTGTATTTCTTTTTAATTGTTACTTTTCCATTGCATATAAAAGTAATGAGAGCTACTATCTATCTTCTAATGAAAGGTTTCTGCAACTGCGTATTTGAATAGCCCTCTACTGGAAAGTTCAAATGCAAGGCAGCTATCAGTGTGTTCTTCACAAGAATTCTGCCTGTTACCAGGAATGATTATGTTGAGCTGTAAGGATAAGGACAAATGAAAAAAACATGACTGGTCACTGGAGAAAGGCTGTCAGAGTCTGATGAAAATAAACTTCATTCATTCATTCGTTCGTTCATTCATTCTTTTATTTTTGCCATTAATCACATACAAATACAGCAACAATATATAGAAATTTATAATACATTTAAGATATAATTATGCGCTCTTCTAACTAAATTATTTACAAAATTAAATGTTTAAAGTGGTTGCGACAAGGAATCCTATATAGAAGCCGGGGGCTTATAAACTATTTAAAATACGCTTCCTGGGCTATGGAGTAAACCATGCAAGTTAAGGGTACTGAATGAAGATTTGGACTAAGTTTTAAAAGTAAAGAAAAAAAAAGAAAAAATAAAAGGTATGAAGCTCGGCAAAGAGTATATTCGACTAAGAAGGAAGGAAGTCTTTTGCCAAACAAACTGATACTTTCACCGTTTCGAATCTCACGACTTAGCGAGTTGAAAAACTTAGGACCTTGAAACCGAATTGAGAATTTTCGAAAATCAGTTCGACAATGACGTATATGGAAAACCCTGGAATTTCTTGTATTATGCGAATGTATCTGCCTTGCAAGAGTAAACATATCACGAAAATAATTAGGAAGTAAACCGTCTTTTAGAAAGATACATAAATTTACATATTTGCTATAAATAAATGTCCGAGAATTTTAAAAATCTTCTGCTCCTAAAAAAGAACACCAGTGTGAGAATCAAAAGAAACTATATATTTTGTTCTGATTATCTTTTTTTGCAGAATAATAATCCGACTTAAATTAGACCGATATGTCGATCCCCACACTGAAACACAATATATTAAGTAAGGGTAAACTAGACTATAGTACAAAGAGCGTAAGGAAGTTTTGGGAAGGCAAAAACTTGACTTATAAGTAATACCTATAGATTTTGATGTTTTTCCAGAAGCGCTAAGAATGTGAGGCTTCCATGACAAATGCTCATCGAGGATAATACCTAAAGATACTGTTTCTTTCAGACGTTCAATAACATTGTTGTCAATTTGAATAGATCAAGTGTTTGCCTCATTTGGCGTGGCCTAAAAACCATAAGATTCGTTTTTTTAAAGTTAATGGGCAGCTTATTTGCTCGACACCATTGTGTTAATTTAAGCATTTCAGAATTCAAGATTTCAGGACGTAAATCAAAATCTTTGTGGGGAAAATTATGTTTGCGTCATGAGCAAAAGGAATAAAGTCCACCACCTTTGACACATTGCACAGATCATTTATAAAGAGCAGAAAGAGCAGGGTGCCTAGTATAGAGCCCTGAGGTACCCCGCACTTTATTTCGCAAGTCTCTTAACTGATACCAATAAATTCCACATATTGTTCTCTATTGCTTAGATAGCTTTTTAACTATCTATTAAGTGCAGTGACTAGAACACCATAATGCTCTAATTTGAAGTTAAAATGTTATGTATTCCTTATTTTCATTAACGGAAGAGATTTTGTCATATAAACAAGCAAGAGCATAAACAGTGGAGTGATGCTTGCAAAAACCATACTGATTGTCAGAGATTGTTATGATTATTAAGAAACTTTAAAAGACCATTGTACATTACTCTCTGTAGAATTTTAGAGAATGCTGGTAAAAAAGACACTGGTCTTTCTGGCCTTTTTATTTGTAATTTTAAAAAATTAGAAAAACTGAGACCATGTTCAAACATTAAACTTCATGTAGGATTAGAAAACACGCGAAAGCGGTCGGTCGTTTTGTTTTACTTTGATGGAGAATCAAATACAACCAGCATATAAAAAGCCACAACATACCATCTTTGTTTCAAGGTCGCAAATTAATGCCAGTCTTCTTCAGAGACACCCAAAAATGTATGACTCCATTTGTATGACTCCATTCGTTTCTGACCATTATTTTTCTTATATTTCTTTTAGCAATGCTTGTTTCCTGCGATGTGTGGCTATCGCTTATGACAAGGACAAACCCCAAGGATCAAAACAACGAGACAAACCTTATCGTCTATGGCTCTCTTGTTGGGGCATCATTCATATTTCTCATCATTCGAGCATTTAGCTTCTATCTGGTATCTTTACGATGTTCTGAACGTCTTCATGATAAAATGGTTGCGGCTGTTCTACAGGCACCAGTCGTATTCTTCGATTCAAATCCTGTGGGAAGAATTATGAATCGGTTCTCTAAAGATATAAGTTGCATGGATGATGTACTACCTAAAACGTTTCTGAGAGCAATCCAAAGGACCTTGCTGATGTTCACCTCAATACTTCTACCAACCGTCATAAACCCTTGGCTTCTGTTTGCTCTTACGCCAATAGCTGTGTTAGCGGGAGTTATTTCAAGATATTACTTAAAGACATCAAGGGAGCTGCAAAGGCTGGAGTCAGTTAGTCGTAGTCCAGTCTTTTCTCACTTTTCAGAGACACTGGATGGACTGGACACAATTCGGACGAGAAAAAAAGAAAAAGATTTCCTGGATGAATTTTGCAGGTACTTTACTCATTGTTTTTTGTCTTTGTTGTTGAATAATTTGATATTTGTAACCTGAATAGCTCAAGTTTGAAATGAGTAACTCCTGGATTAAGTAGTCAATCAATTAGGTACCCAGGAAGCTAGTCAATTTGTAAAACGATCGCCGTGTGATTTCATCGGGGTGATTGATGTGTTGCTGCCATTAGGTCTCAGTTATCTTAACTAGATTGTTTTGGTAACGTTTAACTGGGACGTTCACCTGGGATTTGGACATGCTAGCTCTCCAGATTATGACGCCTTTTTACATTCTTCTTTTATCATATGACAAGGCGTCTTAACGGAAAAGATTCTTTTTTCAAAGAGTATTCGAATGTGAAAGATTTGACAGCGAAATCGAAGTTACAAAACTAAATCGTGCATTATTATTGTTCCTTTTAGTTATCAAGATCTTCATACTAAGTCATACATTATGGTTTTTGCCAGCCAGCGCTGGCTTGGTGTACGCTTGGATTGTCTCTCCGCTCTTTTGACTGCTGCAACGGCTCTTGCTTCAGTTATTGTATCACAGGATGCTGGTAATTATACTTGCATATGTAATCAACAAATTAATCCATGTTTATATGAGCTGCTAAATTTCTTAGAACACATGAATCTCCCAGTAAGGCTTTTACTTCTTGTACAAATCTAAAAATTTGTTTACCGACATAGAAAGACTATGTTGACAATGGGGCCTTTTCTTATTTGTGTTAAGTTATAAAATTATCGTGTTCTACTACTGCTGCCTCAAAATAAAATACAACTGCTGCTTTTTCAAAGCTATAATTTGCTTATTTGTCTTTTGGTTTATGATAACATAATGGAACTAACAGGTCAAGTTTTCTCAGTGTTTTCACTGCTTCAATGTTTATGAAAAAGCTACTTCTGGTAAAATAGCTCTTGGCAGCTACTGAATAATACATGTGGGTCGACATTCTCTTCTTGAAATGCAACTAGTCCCTTCGGTACCCCTAGTGAAATCTGATATATAGCAATTTTAGGTTGCTAAAAATAGATAATTTCTTGCTACGCCGGGTCCCTTGGATTCAGCGGTCAGTTCTTAAAATTACTAAGAGGAAACCAACCACCGTACTAGGGGTGTGATAAAGCTTTGCACCTCGCTTTCCCGGTTCGCCACGTAGTGCTTGTATCAGGAAGAAAACCTCCTGGCGCCCAGGGTAGCGAGGGACAGGTGCCCAGAAAAATCCTCTTGCTAAAAAAGGGGGATGGAAATTGCACCCACCCCTAGCCTCACCTTAGCCCTCTTAGGGATAAGTTCTCGGGAATGCTTTTTTGGAACGCCAGGCAGACGTTCTAGGCAGAACAAAATCCGGTCGATTGTTCCGTACTAACAATTGGGCAAAAGATTGTTACTTGTCCTGAACAGGATAGCATTTCCGACCAGGGGCCCGTTTCTCGAATGTCCCGATAGATTTTCGGGACCGGAAAGCTGTTTTATCTTGGCCGTGTTTGCATTCAAGTTCAAAGTTTCAATAACTATGAAAATGATGCAATGAAACTATCAGTTAAAGAAGCAAAATTGATTGGTTTGTGAGCTAGGAACTGTTACTATTCAACTGGTTTATATTTTAAAATTTGCCTTCCAGCCCGAAAAGTTTGCGGGCCTTTCGAGAAACAGGCCCCGGCCAGGACATAATAACCGAAAAATTTACCTTATGGTTGATGAACCATAGCTTAATAAACGTATTCACCTGGTTTTCTTTTTAGCTTTCACCGGTCTGGCATTGGTTTATGTAGTTCAAAGTGTGGTTTGGACTCAGTACGCAGTTAAGAAATCAGTTGAAGTCGAAACTCTGATGACATCAGTTGAGCGAGTAATGACGTACACCGAGCTTGAACCTGAACCTGGATACAAAGTGGAACGAAAACCTCCGGGAATCTGGCCACATGAGGGTAATATCGTGCTCAAAGACGTATGCCTGACCTACTATCCGGGGGGTCCTCAAAGTTTAAAGAATATTACACTTAACATCAACGGTGGAACTAAGATCGGCATTGCAGGTCGGACGGGCGCAGGGAAATCTTCCTTCGTGGCGGCACTAATGCGCATGCCTGAACCTGGTGGAGACGTATTTATTGACAATGTCAATATAAAAGACATCACCCTCAGAGAATCTCGACGAGCAATAACCGTTCTTGGACAAAATCCTGTCCTTTTTAGCGGAACGGTGAGGCAAAATCTTGATCTGATGGAGCAATTTGAAGACGCGGAACTATGGCGAGCTTTAGAACAGGTGCAGCTGAAAAGTCTTGTAGAGAATTTGCAGGGTCAGTTGAATCATGAATTATTGGAGCACGGTGCAAACTTTAGTGTTGGAGAAAGACAACTTATCTGCTTGGCTCGAGTGCTGTTGCAGCAAAAGAAAATCGTCATTTTGGATGAGCCAACTGCACACGTGGATCCGGACACAGAACAAACGATCTGGAATATAGTAGACGAGAAATTGAAAAATTCTACGGTTATCACTGTTGCACATCGTTTGAACACAATAAGAGACTGCGACAAGATATTAGTTTTAAAAAGTGGAGAAGTCGAATGGTTTGATAGCTTTGATGTGCCTGTGAACAGAAAAGGGCGAATTTTAAGTAAAATGGATCATGTACCCGAGGAAGCCACATAAATACTCATCCATCCACATAATTGCACTGACATTTCGAGGACGTCTCTTATGTTGCGTTGATCATGTAGTTTAAAAAAAATGAGGCTACTAAAAGATTCATGCTGTTGACTTTTGTAAAGCTTTTGATCTCCAGTATTAACTTACCAATCGTCCCATGTAAGGGAATCCAAGACAGTCTAGGATTCTGGATTCCACGCCGTGGATTCCGGATTCCAGATACTAGATCCTGGATTCTTTGTTAGTGGAATTGGGATTCCGGATTCCTTGAGCATCATTCAGAATTCCAAAACCCAGGACTAAATATTCCACAAGCAAACATTTCCCAGATTCTGGATTTCACAGGGAAAATTTTCCTGGATTCCGAAATCCAAATTTCCTTACATGGCGCGATACCAACTTGTTATGGCAGGAGAGCGGCAATTACAAACTTGTTGTCTCATGAAGGTATCTTTAATAACGTTCACAAGCTTCATCTGATTGATACTTCTGCCTTTCAGCCCCAGCACTTATCTACTTCGAAAAGGGCAAATGTCGAGCCTTTCGTCTAAAGACTAATCGATGATTGCCAACAACGCGTCTTTTAATAGTAATATTTATCGTCTATTCACGCATCAAACAATTCTTATCTTAACATACTTACAGTAGTTATCGTCATTATTTATAAATACGTTTTTTTTATCGTCAATATTTTTATCACAATAGTCGCTAAAGAAGTATTGAAATTTCGTGAGAAAAATTATAATCAATGGCAAATTCGAACTTGCTACTCCGCAAATATGCCAAATAACCATGCCCAAAGGTGCCCCATGAGAGATTGTTCTTACTCAATACTGTTTTTGCTTGCCTGAAGCTGGTTCCCCTAGTTAGTTCTGTAGCTCGAACGTGTAGCAGAGTAGAAGGGGTGACAAAATATTTCAGTAGTTAGCTTTGTATTAGCTAGATTAACAGAGGGTGGATTCATCTGCAGCATACAGGCATCTTGTCTTGTGAAGATTCACTTAACGGGTAATTGGAAGGTCAAAAAATATATATATTAATCGCCAATAGTTTTAGACGTTCTACAGGCTCGGGTTGTTCAAACTTTGGATAGTGCTATCCACCGGATAAAACAATATCTACCAGATAAGTATTAGTGCCTGTTTACAAGGAGAGAAGGTTACCCTTGTGCTCGGGTTACCCTAGCAAGCGGGTGAAAGTTAGCTCTGGTTTACAAGCAAATTTCTCAAGTAGGGTTACCCTATCACCCGGGTCAACTTTACTAGCTTTGCTGACGTGTTTCGTCATGCGTGACATTCTTTGTAACGGTCCAAGATTTGAAATAATCTTGAAGTTCACGAAAAAACAAAAATCTAAATTCACGAAAAAACTAAGGGAAATTTTTATCAAAGTAGACAGAAAATAACATTTTATTTTTCAGATGTTTATAATTAAGCTCAGAAATTGGATAATACCGTTTAAATTGGCACGATTACATGACGGCGGAAAGTTGACCAAGGTAGGCGGTTATCCCTAGCTGAGCGTCTACAAGGCAGGTAGGGTAACCCTCTTGCTAGGGTAACCCTAGCACTCAGGCAGGTTACCCTAGGGCCAGGGTAACCCTACCTGCCTTGTAAACACGTCGTGAAAAAAGAAGAAATATGCGAGTGCTAGAGTAACCCTCTTGCTAGGGTAACCCTAGCACCAGGGTTATCCTCCCTCCTTGTAAACAGGGCCTTAGGAAAGCAAATCACCCTATCCACTCATAGAGATTTATCCAGTGAACAGTATTATCCACTTTTCGAACTACTCGGCCCTGATCTAAAACTCGAAACAAAAGCTTTTAAAGACAAGCGTACTGTTTCTCAAGGAGAAATAATCCTGAAACTAAAGAAAATTATTTTGCGCCGCCAAAAGCAATTAAATGAAGGATGATCATCGCACTTATATACGCAACTTTTGCAGTTGCGAAAAGAAAGCCTGAAAAAAATTCAGGCTTGTAAGCTTGCGTATATAACTGCGATGATCATCCTTCATTTAATTCTTCACTCTGCAGTTCACATATATGATTTTCATATATTCAAAACTTCATCATCATCCTTTCACGGGTTTATAACGAACCAATTCAACGACCTGCTCCTAGTTGGCAAGTTAGTTTAATTGGTAGAGCGCTGCACCGGTATCGCAGAGGTCAAGGGTTCTAATATCCCGTACAAGCCAGGATTTTTTTCAGGCTTTCTTTTCGCAACTCTAAAAGCTGCGTATATAACTGCAATGATCATCCTTCATTTAATCCTTCACTCTGCATTTCACCTATATGATTTTCGTACTCCGGTGAATTAAGGAATGGGTCCTCGTTGCATGCGGAGTTTTATGACTTGGTCTTGTTTTATCCAGTATCTTCCTTTATTTTATTCTTAGACCGCTGTGTTTAAGACCAGAACCACTTCGGACCTTAAACACTTCCTTTTTTTAAGATCACGTGACCAGTCACGCCCATAATTATGCAAAATTTGGACTTTGCAGATTACACCAGTTTACTGAATGTGACCACAATCGTTTTTACTTCCATAATATTTCGTTTACAGTCAAATAAACTAAGTTAATCGGGGATTTGTGAAATGATCCATTCCTTCGTAATTATTAGTTATTTTTCTCTCGTCCCAGTCTCCCTCTTAACAAAAAACGTTATAGTTTACAAAACGTAGATAATTTTACAAAACCCCGATTAATTCCATAAACTTTGTGTCAATAGTCATTGACAAAAAGTGAATTAAATTACCACACTTATTTATAAAGTGGTGTAAATTTGGATTGAAATAAAAAGTCAAAAATGGGTGTGACAAGTCACGTGACACAGATAATACATTAGTAATAATGAAAAATGATTGCTTATGGGGAGTAGATATTGAATTTAAAATATTAATTCACCGGCGTATATTCAAAACTTCACATTCAAAAACACATGAGCGAAAACAACTCAGTGTACACTGTACTGCTGTACTGTTTCACTCACTCATTAGGTTAGCATCTTTTTCCTTTTAATCTAGTTTCCGGCTTCTTTTTTCTTTCCTTATTTTTATTATTTTACTTTTTTAATTTCAGCCCCCTGTGAAAATAGCTTAAATAGTTTAAAGAACATGTATTTGTAATTATTTTTGTAATTATTTATAAAATTATAAAAAACAACAACAACAACTCAGTGAAGCCAACAGCAGTCGGTAACTTTTGTCTTTGCTTTACGGTGCGTCAGTGAACAACATTCGTTACTTCGAACGAAGAAATCGTTTGAGAATTTCAATCTTAAGACCTAACAGTGAAAATTTGGCGCTCGTTGGAGGCCCGTTCTGGTCAAAGTCGTGACAATGATTGATTGATCTCTGTTATGGCATTACTGGCTATCTCACGGATCTGCTGTTGGACAGTCAAAAATTAATGCTCATTACCAAAAGTTAAAAACAATTCGCAGTACCATTGAACGAATGAAAAAATTTTTTTAAAAAAATCAGTATATTTGTAGAACTATAAAAAAATAATAAGACTTAAATAAAAAATAGAACCTGATGATAAAAAATAATTAACCAACACGCTGAAAAAAATGTTATGAGGTGATGACAACAATACGAAAAAGGTTTATAGAAAGTGTTCCACTGGCAAAAATACTGGAATAATTTTGACCAAAACGGGTCTCTATGGGTTATTACTGAATTTTTGTTTCGCCTTAATTTTTTGTTACATTAGAAATGGCCTCCATTTGTTTAACCTCTACTCATTTCCAGTATCTCTCGGTCAAATTTACTTTGTTTTGATTTTGCATTGACCTCAACTAATCACAACGCAGGATACATATATCCAGAAATCAGAAATGGATATCTCCCGGACTGCTTGCATGGCACTCAGCAGTAGCAACAGACTAGTGCCCAAAAATCCTCTTGATAAATAGATCTTAAAAACAAAAAAACGGAAAGGGGGAGGGGGTGGCATGCACCCCCGCCCTTCCCTTGTACGTCCGAGGTTTAAGGCGAGGGAGAATTTCCTCGAAAAAAAGGTTGGGCAATAGATGGTTTAATTTCCTAAACAAGGCAGCTTTTCGCGCTATGGGATAATATCCGAAAACTTTATTTGTGTTTTATGAACCATAGCTTATTGAACGGATCCTAGTTTTCTTTTAGCCTTTACCGGTCTGGCATTGGTTTATGTAGTCCAGAGCGTTGTTTTGACTCAGTACGCAATAAAGAAGTCAGTTGAGGTCGAAACTCTGATGACATCAGTTGAGCGAGTAATGACGTACACCGAAACTATCCTAGAATTAATTTCACAAATATTAACCTATTATTATATAACTAATATCATGGGTGACAAATTACTCCTTAATTTTGGCGCGAAATTTCAGCGTTAATTTATAATTTCACATGTGAAATTACAAAATTGCCATGGCAACCGTTCCCACGCAGCCAAAATGGCGTCCAGGTTTGAAGATGTTACAGATTCTGATGTGGCGGCATTAAAAGACGCTACCGAAAACATGAACACCCGTAAAAGCACAGTTAACTGGTTGAGAGTTTTTGAGAACTGGTGTGATGAAAATGCCCACGACAAAAGCGCTGAGAAGCTTACTCCTGAACAGCTGGATAAAGTTCTTGAGCGGTTTTATGCCTCTGTCCGTAAACAAGACGGAACCGACTACGAACCTGGCTCCTTAAAAGTAATGCAAGCAGCACTTGACCGCCACCTGAAGGAAAAGGGTACTCTTTGTCAATTATAAAGGACGGAGAATTTTGGAGTTCTCGAAAAGTGCTAGAGGGAAAGGCGCGTAAGCTGCGAAACGAAGGTAGAGGAAAATTGCCAAATAAGTCACGAAGCCTAACAAGAGAAGAAGAAGAAGTGCTGTGGGAATGTGGACAGCTTGGAAATTCATCTCCAAGGTCCCTCCTCTACACAATGTGGTGGCTCCTGTCACAGCATCTTGGTTTACGAGGCTGCCAAGAACACTACACAATGAATGTGGAGGATTTCACGCTTAA